TAGTATAGACGTTGTATCAATGAAATTCACAGTAACAATGATATTCTCATTCTAAGGTGGCTTGGAAGGCTTAGTTCTAAGCCTTATTCTCCACTTGACTCCAAAAAAATTATAAGAGGGAAAGTAAACAGTAAAAAAAGAAGGCAAAAGACGTTGCACAGCTCCAATTTATTTTGTAAATTGTGTCTGCTAATATTTAATTTAATTTTTTTATTTGAATAGATAAATGATGTAAATTTTAACAGTTGAAAAACACTACAAGACTTCAATTTGTTAATTAAGAAAATAAAGTTAAAGTATATTTTTACTTACTAAACAGTTATATTTTTCTAAACTCTAATGCTTGGCTATTTTGATTAGTTGATCAATGTACAGTGGACAAAAAAAAAAAACTTACCACTCTGAATAACTTATGATCTAATGATCGGATCCTCACGTTTTAGTAAGTTCAAATATGTTAATTAATAACTGCAGACAATATTTCAAGTTACGAAATCAGACACAAAAAACGTACTTTCTTCGAATTAACAAACCTTTTCATATGGATTGAAATTTCTTACCCCATAATATTGGGGGTAGACGCAATCTGGGAAATATGGTCCCAACAGTTTGGTCAGAAAACAGCTCTCAATAGTTAGGAACCCTTAATGCTAATATTACTTTTTGCATGTTTCGCCTTATCTCGATAAAATTTGAATCAAATTGAAAAATTTTTGCGCACAATTGTAAAACTCATTTATCCAAAGATGATTCCAAAAATAATATTTTGTAAATATTTTTTTCGTTATTTTATTTAAAAATGGTCAGAATTTTTTTTATTGGAACGTATACAATGTTTTGCATCATTTTAAACAATAAAATTTTACATGGCGAAATACAAAAATTTGAGCGTAATCGGTACAATAATTCCTGAAAAATTTAATTTAAAAAAAGTCAGGTACTTAAAAAGAGATTTCTCAGGAGCTAGTCAACCGATTTTGGTCAAATTTGTCATTTTACTAGGTAAAAATATGTTCCTTTAAATTATGCCGAAAATTGTATACCTTACAGTTCAAAAATCTTTCGACCATTTTTAAATAAAGTAACAAAAACTAATAACCATTTGCTAAAAATTATTTTTTGAGTGGAATTATTAAATTTTATAATTGTATGCAAAAATGAAAAAAAATAATTGAGATAGTTTTAATTAGCATTAAAGAGTCCAAACTTTTTACCGCTATCCTAACCAAACTATTGGGACTATATTTCTCAGATTGCGCCCACCCCCCTATATTGAAGAAATCCGAATCCCTCGAAAATAAAGAAAGTTTATTCAGAGAAAGTACGTTTTGGTACTTAAAATAGCACTAATTGATTAGCATATTTGAGGTCACCCTTTAGAACCATCAAAATTGAGTCCCAGTACGATTACATGAGTCTAGTTACGATTATCCAGTTACGATTTCATCCTATCATTAGGTCAAAAGTTATTCTGAAAGTCCGTTCACTTTTTGCGCAATTTACAAAAAAAAAAAAAGTTATGAATATTTAAAATCAATATTGCAAACTCGTTTTTTATTTTGAAGAACTATCAGATTATTTTTTTCGATTTCATTTCAATTCAACGACAAAATATTGCTTATTCTTTACTTATTTCATATTTTTGGACGACTTATTATTAATAAATTTTGTTTCAAAAACAAGGGGTGTCCGCAAATTGATTGTTAGATTCCATCTTCAAATTTTGAAAAATTACTACTTAATTTCTAATTTTTACCAACATTTTAGTGTTTTTTTCTCTTTTATTATTCTTTGCTTTAAATAGCCTACTAGACTATTTTTAGACTGCATCGGGACTTTCACATTAGATTCTGAATAAATGAGTGCATCACGAATTTTATGATCACGACAATATCTCCATTGTTCTTTATCCTTCAGACGTTCATTAAATCCAATTTTTATTCAGAAGTTTCATGTCAACTCAAAAAATTTTTGTATGCACATATTTTTACAGAAACGACGGTTATGTATTCAGGCATTTACAAAATGTTATGTCATATATTTATGTGTATTTTGAAATAAAACTATTATACGCTGTTTCATTTGTAAATTAATTATATGTCGTTCTAAAACTTAAATATTAACACTGTATGATACTTCAATTCAGCTTAAATTTTATCAATACTATTAAAGCTAGTCGTGGTGGCTCAGGGGATAAAACGCTCGCCTAAAAAAGAGATGAACCTGATTGAAATCCCGAGGATGGCTGGTTCATACGACTCCCGCACCCGATTCGCACTGACTTAAAATATCCTCTATAGTAGGTGGGTCATGGATTATAGTCCACTTGCTGTGAGACTTACGTTGGAAGGCTTTCGTGGTTTACCTCTTCATGAAACACAATTGCGGGATAGTTTCATAAAAAAGTCCGCCATGAAGGCCCATTTGTATTTTTCTTCTAGATTGGGTTCAAAATTACAAGACTACGGAGTTNCATGTAGGACCACCTTTAGCCCTCAAAACTGCTAGCACCCGCCGAGGCATTGATTCCACAAGGTGCTGATAGGTAGTCTGAGGTATCTGGTCTTCAACTGGTCCTCCAATTCCCTCACGTTGCCGCATTGCGAGGGGGTAGCGTGGCAGAACGAATTTGGTTTTCCAAGTAGGACCATAAATGCTCTATTGGATTAAGGTCAGGTGAATGTGGGGGCCCAAGACATGACTTGAAAGTCACTCGACGATTCGACCCCTATGACATGGTGCATTATCTTGTTGGTAAACACCATCCCTTGCAGGAAAAACTGTTGCCATGAATGGGTGAACCTGGTCTGCAACTATGTTCAAGTAGCTTACAGACGTCAGGGATTGTTCTAAGAGGATTATGGGTCCTAATGTGCCCCATGAAAACCTGGGGCAGCCCATTGATATATATATATATATATACCGAAGAGCCATTACATTATGACCACGGAACCCACTCATGACCACTTAAAACTACTCTTTTTATCGCATGTGTCATAAATGCAGGTATTTGTTTTAATAATTCAAAGACTTAAAATTAATATAATCGTTATTATCAGGAAGCACTTTTAATTCTCTAAAAATTATTTAGTAAAAAATTCTCATATTTATTAGAATTTATCTGTAATCAAATTCGCAATTAGGGATATTTTTATAGTCGCAGTAATAACTCAAAAGAACATATTCCAGTTTAGAAAATGGAAAGCTATTAAGAGAATTATTGGTAATAATCCACGAAAAAACTTGTTTAACATTGTTAATAATTTTATTTAAATAGTCAGAGAAAACAGTATCAGTGTTACATACATGGTGTAGCGTTCCAACACAAAAACGCCACCACTTGGCGATAGCAGCGCCACTTATTCCCTCCGATATTGTTGGAAGATGTACTGTGAGCAAATAAACGATCAGCCTGAATAACTTTTGATCTAATGATCGGATCTTCACGTTCTAGGACTCTGGCTCGAGGGGTTGACCTCAAATATGCTAATTAATAACTGCAGACGATATTTTAAGTTACGAAATCAGACGCTAAAACGTTATTTTTCTGAATAAACATACCTTTTTTGCTACGTATTTGGTTCTTTGGATAGCCGCAATCTGAGATAAATGGTCCAAATAGTTTGATCAGGAGTGCGCTCTAAAGTTTGGACCCCTTAATGCTAATTTCACTTTTTGCGTATTTCACTGTATCTAGAGAATTTTTTAAGAGAGTTGAAAAATTTTTTTACACAATTATAAAATTCATTTATCCTAAGATGACACAATGTAAAAAAAAAAATTTTTTAGTAAATATTTATTATTTTTCATTATTTTATTTATTAATGGTCGAAAAATTTAATTCAATAATTTGATTATCATAAGGTATAGAAATTTTTGCATCATTTCAAAGAATATAATTTTACACGGCAAAATGCACGTAATCTACGTTCGAATATTTTCTAAGAAATAGAATTTTAATTGTTTGACTTTAAGATATCAAGATATTTGAATAAATATCTGACTTTTTCAAGTCGCCTGATTTGCAAAATTTTCTGCAATCTAACTTAAAAATATATTACTCAATTTAATAATAATTTTTTAGCCAGGTTTTTAACAATTCAATGGAATGGATACTAAGTGCCCCCACTTCTCTGCTATATAAGACGGGGCAGGAAGAAGGTCATAATACATTTCAGATTATGATGCGATACGCTAAGGTCATATGAGTTTTGTCTTGCGTTGCATGCGTTGCGTATTTTCAAGGGAAAAGAAAAGGTTATATGCATGCATATAAACGTATACATTTTTTGTACATCCAGATGTAAAATAAACTTAACTGAAAATATTATTTTGGGAAAAAATCTGTAGCTTTCGATAAAAAAAACTAATTTCAGATTTGAAACCCCCACACCCGAATTAGGTGAGATCGAGTACTTGTATAAATGTAACAAAAAGTTTGTTCCCCAATGTAATAATTTAGATAACACTTAAAATTTAGCGACGCTTAAAATTTAGGTCGAAGTAGTAATGAATTGACGGTGAGTGAAAGGCTTTTTTTTTTTTTTTTTTCATATCTGTACTCGCGATTAGTGACATAAATATGTATTTTAACACTACTCTAACATATACGTCAGGCTATTGTTTTTATTATTGTTTTGACATTGTCTAGAATGATAAATAAAACTTATTAAAATCAGGAAAGTGATGTAATGTTGTTTTCAACGTATTATGCTGAAATCAGTTTTACCTGTTATCAAACTTTAAAGATAAGAAATTTTATTTCGCCTCGCAATTTATTTTTTTATTAGAGCAATAAAACGCTAAATTTTATTGCATTTCAGGGGTTGCGCCAACTTTTAATGCTTTTAAATTATCGTTTCAACACTAGTTTCATTTCGAAAAACGAAAATAATACTTCAAATTTTGTAATCGGGATTTATTTTATTATTAAATCATACATTTTAAATTTATCAAAAAATAATTTTTTTCGGAAAAAAATACATTTAATAGTTTAGTTTAAAATTTAACTTAAAAAACTGAATTTAAAATAATGAAATCAATTGATGATCCATCCGGTAAGTTGAATTTATAATTATAATTCTAAATTACACCCATTTAATTTCCAAAATATTTGAACTGTTTTACGTCCATCGTATTTTAGTGTTTTATTTTAATGACTGAAATCTTGAGAATGTCAACTTTCTCCGGCGAATGTCAGCATTCACTTAATCGCTTTGGTGAATTCTAAAATATTTGTTTCATCCGATTTGATATGAATTTATTCGCTGATATAATATTCATACCTGCCAACTTTTAATTCCTTCAATCACGACTTTTCCCAGTGGTATTAAAATGGAATTAAAATTTCAATTTTAAGCAACGAAATACTTTGTAATTGAAAAAAACTTGAGCTGAGAAAGTTGACAGTTAATAATATATATGCGTAAGTTTTTTAAAACTAGTGGTGATCAAAATCATTTAAAAATTAAGTTTATAAAAGGAAAAATAGTATATATTTACTACCACTTTAAATGTAAAAATGAAATTTTACGCCAAATGCGTAAAAGTTGGCAGGTATGAATATTATATTTATTCGATATTTTAATATCTGCTAAGGGATTGAATAGGAGAAACATCAGTGTTGGGAGTACCAGTTAAATGCATACAGGGGAGTGGCACTAGACCTTAAAAAAACATTAATGTAGGGCATACCGGGCAGTGGCACTGAACCTTAAAAAAACATCAACTAAAATATTTTTTAAAAATCATTTGAAAAAAGAATCCTGCCCCTCAAAAAGTTGAAACAGTACCGGAGTTGAATTAAATCAGTGATCTGTTAAGCTAATTTGAATTGATATTCAGGGTTTAGTTGATTCGAGCTAACGAACGGGTTAATAATAAACGAAAAAAAAACTTTTTTTTTTTCATTTCATCTCTACAAGATTTAAATAATTGAAATTTTATCAATTTCTTGAAAAAGTTTCTCATCCCACAAACAGTTAATTTCGTCTACTTTTCCGTCAAAACAATTATCTCGAAACACATCTTGATTCTATTTATTTCGAAACAAGACTTTTGCGCGTTTCTATTTACTTCATAAACTCAGCTGTTACATCTACAATGTTTCCTCTAAGAAAAAAAAAGACAAGTCATATCATATAGATATTTCACTGATAGACTGCGTTAAAATATTAATGAAGCATTATTTATCTTTTCAGCCCTTGTAAAAAACTGTACAGCGCAACACATTTTTCAGGCTTATTTATTGAAATGATTGTATAAAATGAAAATAAATTTCAGCAACAAAAGAAATACAAAGGTCTATATATATATTCGCTTTTCGAAAACATGAACTTTTTTTTCCTGTCTGGATGTTTTCTGTTTAGATTTTTTTCTGTTCCGTTTGTGCGTATTATTCTTGTGTTTCCTATATTTTAGAAATGACGTACTTGCTTTCAGAAATCGCCAAATGCAGTGTGCCAAAGAGATACATTGTAACACTGATGGCATTTTTTGGATTATTTAATGCATATTGCATGAGAGTGAATGTGAGTGTGGCTATCGTAGCTATGGTGAATCACACAGAAAATGCAAATGTAAATAAAAGCATATTGGATACTGAATGCCCGGGTTTAGTTGACGTGACATTACCAGTAGAAGAGCCTGTAAAGGTGAGTTCATTTTAAATTGGAATTGACATTTTTGAAAGTGTTCTATTTAAATATTAATATTTCTTGAATAAAATTTTAATATTGCTAGCTTAAATTCTATTTCTGTTTTCAAACTATACGTTTTTTGGTTTTTATTTATCATGTATATTATTTTTCAAATATGTTTTTAAATGTATCTTATGAAGTTACTTTTATTTATACTCAAACGAGTTTTTTCACTTGAACAGTGCACAATAAAAAAAGTACCAACCACTCCGTATAACTTCCTATCCTAATAATCAGATTTTCACGTTCTAGGAATCAATCTTAAAGGTTCGAAAGGGTGACCTCAAATATATCAATTATCTAGTTTATAGGTATATATGGTAAATATAGGTAAATATGGTAAATATGGTTTGTATTGTTTAATCAGGAGCGTGGTCCAAAGTTTGAACCTCTTAATGTTAACTTTACTTTTCGCGTATTTCACCAAATCTCGAGAACTTTTTTAGAGAATTAAAACAGAAAATTGCGTACAATTATAAAATTTGCTTATCTGAAGCTAATTCCGTGAAAAATATGACTTTCAGTATTTATTTATTATTTTATTTATAATTAGTTGTATATGTTATATTGTGTTTGAATTGTAAGGTACACACTTTTTTTTACATAATATAAAGAATGCTATTTTTAATGACAAAATACAAAATTTCAGCAAAATCGAATTTTATAAAAATGTAGGGGGTCAGATATCCGAATCCGACGGGAAAAAAAATGCTTATTTAGAGAAAGTGCGTTTATTAATCTGATTTCTTAATAAAATATCATCTGCACCAATTAGCATATTTAAGGTCATCTACCTGCTCTAGCATTAGGATTGAATTTGAAGTTCTGATCATTAAGTTAAAAACTATTTATGGTGGTCAACCATTTTTTTTGCGCACTGTACATGTTATATTGTGATTAGAAAAAAAAATCTTTAATTCATAAAGAAGCATTTGTTTATAGGGTTGGTAAATATATCTACCCCATAAACATGCCTTTATTTCGTGATATTTAGATACTATGTTTTAGAAATATTCAGGATAACCACGATTTGTAAAAACAGACATACAGAGAAGCCAACTTCACTTTTCGAAAATTATTTCATAAACTGTTGAGTAGTAAAATATTGAACTGTAACCCTAAATGTTATAGAACTCTGTTTAATGTAGAAATTTCTTTATACCACCTATCACGAAAAATAATTTATTTCGAAGAAAAATAAAAATTTTGAATATATATACAGTGGAACCTCGCTAACTCGAACCTCGATTTCACGAATTTTTCAATATCTCGAAGAAAAAAAAATTCCCTTCAAATTTCCTATACACTCAATGTTAAAAAAAAACTTGATTTCACGAATTTTTTTTTCTAATCCCTCGATAACTTGAAATTTTTTTCTATAAATAGAGTAGATTTTTTTTCTAAAACTAAAAAAATATTACAAAAAAAAAATAAAAAATTGAAGAATGGCTGACAAGGCATGGAATGGTGTGTCTTCTTCTACGATAATGAATGGCTTCAAGAAGTCTGGATTCATTAAAGATCACGAAAATAGTCAAACAATCAATATCGTTAATTCTGCTGAAAACTACACCGAAAATGATTGAAACAGACTGACCGGACTCATGAAGCTTGATGACATGGAATTTCATGACTTTGTAAACGTAGATGATGCAGTAACAGTGTATGGTCAGTGGGATGACAATGATACCATCGCTCAAACGAAAGCTTCTTGTGAACTATCAGAGGAAGAGGATGAGGAAATCGAAGATTTACCGCCTTTGTTACTAACAAACAAGCACTTTCCGCCGTGGACACTGTAAGGAGATTTATTGAGAGGCAGCCGAATATGTCAGAGGAGACATTTAAAGCTATAGTCCACTTAGAAAGTGTTATAGGCAAACTTTCTTACACATCTCTAAAGCAAACAACAATTGAATCTTTTTTTAAATGAAAGTGTAAAAAGTGTTTTTAGAATAAATATGGAATAATAAATAAAGTATGTAAAGAGTATTTTTCTTTGTTCTACCATCGATAACATGCGATTTTCGATATCTCGAATTTTTTCTCCTCTCCGTCCAAGTTCGAGATATCGAGGTTTGACTGTATTATTAAGTTTTGATTTTATTTACTAGGGAGAGCGTTACAATTGGAATCCTACCCAACAAGGATTCATCCTGAGTGCCTTCTTCTATGGGTATTTCATAGCTATGCTACCTGGTGGATATGTCGCCAAAAAGCTTGGCGCCGTCAGAGTATTTGGCGCCAGTGTACTATCCACAGCAATTCTGACTCTACTAACACCACTAGTAGTTAGTTGGGGTCTTGTTCCATTCCTTGTGCTTCGGTTTCTGGAAGGGATTGGTGAGGTAAATAGTAATAAAATATGTTTTTTCTTTAACTTATGTTAAAGGTTTTAAAAACTTTCTGAATGCAATATAAGTGTTATTTGGAAAAACAATATGTGAGCTCTGCTATGAAGGTCTTGACGGGCGAATAAAAATGCAAAAAGTGGTGCCTAATAAAGTTCACAATTCTAATAAAAAAAAAGAATAAAATTTTCCAGCACATTTTTTTGTCTTTACTATTAAAAGTGATTATTAAGAATAATTTTGTTTTATATATGAATGATTTGAAACGAGTGTCCTAGTTGTAGTTACAGTTCAATAATTAAAGAGATAATAAATAAACAAAAATGAATTGAGTTTCTACCACTTCTTGTATTTCTATATTATAACAACTGATGAATTTTCAATTTATGACTACCACTGTTCAAGCCTGTATCCCTGTAATTTTGAAACTCAATCCGGAAGACAAGGGAACTCCTGGATGAAGTATTGGGAAAAATTTTGCCCTCGTGGAGAACGTTTTGAGGGAACTAACCCGCATTTGCTTTACATGGAGGGGAAAGACATGAAAACTTCCTACCGTTAGCCTACCGCCAAGGAAACTCTAACATATAATCCGTTTACCACTGAGGATAATTTACGTCATCACTGTAATCGGTGCAAGGTGGCTGCGGAGTTTAAATCAACCAGCCATTGTCTGGATTCAAACCCGATACGCATCGTTGGAAGTTGAGAGCTCTATCCGCTGAGCCACTACGGTTCTCTTGCATTTTTAGTTGACTGTGGCATCCCTGCGTTATAAACACTTAGCACGCACCCCGCAATGGCTACGGAATTTTCGCAGGTTCAGAAAATATTTTACCCAGAGGCAATATAGGTGATACAGGGCTGACAACAACTGTACTTTTTGCAAAATATTTTATAGTGTGGTTAAAATCGCATTTCATTAGAAATCTTAAGTTTTTAGATTAAAAGATAATTTTGCGAACATTTTAAATGCCTCGTTACGAGAGCTGGAAAAAAAGTTGCCTTCCGTATGAATTTTTCAATCATTTGCATATAGTGGCTGGGAAAATAACTATAATTCAAATTTGCGACTAATAGCCATTATTTTGAATTTATGACATTGTGTGATTGCGGTATTCTTTGTTTGACTAGATGTTTTTGTAATGAATTAGGTTAGGAAAAAGATAATGCTTTGCAAGTTTGAGATTGTAAAAAAATATATATATTTCCTCTCCCGTCGAAGATTTAAAATTTTAAAGTCGTTTCTTTAAAAGTGTAAGAAAAGTGCGTTTTAAGTGGTTTGTCTAAAGAAAACTATAACATCCCAAAGTTTTGTTTTGCTATATTATTGTCTAAAGCTGCCTTCATGTAACTTGATTGCTGCTTTTAAGAGTTATGTTCTGTCAAAGTTTGTGAAAAATTCAATTTTTGCCCTTTTTCTTTCCTGAAACCCTTGATTAAACCACAATGCCTCGATAATTTCTTTACTGAATAATAAAATTCGCTATTAAGATCTGCTACACGGCGCTTTCCTAGGATTTTGATTTCCGTGCTTTAGTAGATATAGCCAATCAAATTTTCAAAAAATGCAAAATCTGATTTTTTTTGTGAACTTCATTCGTGCTTTAAAATTTACTCTTCAAAACATAACAGATATGTCCGTTATCGAGAATTCGATAAATCATCATTCGATGCATATTGTTGGAATCCTGGTCATAAATTCAAATTCAATAATGCCAAAATTGTGTCTACTCCAGTCACAACAGCTCATCTTGAATCTTTGGAATCTTGTTTTATTTCTATCAATGCTGATTCCTTTGTTAACGACCATAGTTCATCACAACCTCTCCATAGCATGTGGAAATTCATTTTACCTTGATTTGCTGCTCTCGGCCACTGTGGTTTCTATTGTTCGGTTTTTTATATTTTTCTTTCCTCTCTATTACTATTCTAGTTTTTTTTTTCTCACCTTTATTTTTCCATTTTTGTTGGCATTGTTACATTTTTGTTTCAAATCTTTTTTGTTTTTTCTCATTCACGTTTGACAAGTCTTGAAAACGGGCGCCTATTTTTGAAGTGTTTGAAACATGTCTCCTTTTATTTCCTATTTGTGAAGTTAATAAAGTTTATAATCAGATAATATACAATATTTTGTCACAGAAAATCGAAGTTTGGAGCAGGAAAAATGAGTTGTAATGGTAACTACAAAATAAATTTGTAAATATTAGACAGATTTTGCTAGTTTTTTAAAAGGTTTAGCATGACTTATTCTTTCTTTTCTTTATTTAACTAAAATTGGGTGCCTAGGCCGCGCAGCGGCCCCTAACCCATACACCATGAAATATTTACAAGTTGAATAAAAAACATTTTGATTTATGCAGCATTAAGGTAGCATGACTTATAAGAAAAAGTGGTGAATAATATTGCCTACGAATTACTTAGAAATAGTGGTGGATAAAAATCTACTAAATTGAATTTATTAAACCAAGAATCCCAATTAATAAGCTACCACTTGAAAATAGTATATAAATAAACTAATTTGAGTGTTCTATATTGCATTAATTTCTTCAAATCATTTTAGTAACGATAATAATATAAAAAAAATAAGAAATTTACTAAATTATGTGTTTCTAATAATCTTAGCTTTGCCGGTCAGCGGTAACCCTCGTGGTGCTACGAACAAACTCAGTGCCGGTCACCGGTGACCCCCATGACATTCAACGTATTAATGAAGCGATCTTAGAATCTTTCGATATGAAATTTATATTCCTTTCAGATAATCGAATCTTTGTTCCACAGGGTGCCTGCTATCCTTCTGTCATCGCCATCATCAGCAACTGGTCGCCAAAACTGGAAAGAAGTCGAATAACTTCGATCATATTTACGGGTGCTCCCATAGGCAATGTATTCTCCTTTATTATATCAGGTCTGTTGAGCAGTTCAGATGTTCTGGGTGGATGGCCGTCTGTCTTCTACGTATTTGGTAATAAATACCTAGCTCACATAATTTTTATTGAATACCTTAATTAGTTGATAAATGCCATTCATTTTCTCCCCTAACTTTATTGAATATTTTAGTTAGCTGGAAAATGACATGCATTTTCCTTTCACAACTCTGATGAATACTTCAATTAGTTGATAAATGATATGCATTTACCTTTCAAACTCTGTAGAATACCTTAGTAAGTTGATAAAGGCTATATGCATTTACCTCTCATAGCTGTGCTGAATATCTTAATTAGTTTATAAATGACATGCATTTACATATCATAACTTTATTGCATATCTCAATTAGCTGAAGGCTATATTTTATAAATCAATCGGATTTATGTGCATGCTTGGTTCAGATAATTTGTACTTCATCTGTCAGTTGAAAGTTAATTAAATTTGATAAGAGCTTTTGTCTATAATAACTTCGGCGTGGTAAACTGCTGGCTATCAAAGTTCGTCAAAAATTATAAACTTTGATATAACCTAGAATGCGAGTCGTGAAGGAGATAAGTTAAAAACATAATATTAATCACAAGTGATCTGTATAAGTAAGTTAATTTAAAATAGACCAAATAGACCCCTAGACGTCTCTGTGAATACCAAATAAACTTATTGGAGACCGGAAAATTGGGTAAAAATTAGAAAAAAATTCCATTTAAGAAGAGGCAATTTTAAATATTTCGACCAGAGTCGACAACTTTTTGGAGCCGCGCAGTTTTTGTTAATTCTTGTAACCATTAAAAAATGTGCTTTTTTGTGTAAAAAAAGAAGTTCTGTTCTTTACTTATATTTATTTATTTATATTTATTTATTTATATTGTTCCATTTACATTTATTTATATTGATTTATTTATTTATATTGATTTATTTATTAATATTTATTTATATATATTTATTTNTAGTATTTATCCTCGTGAAGCTATTCTACCGTAAAATACTCGAAAAGATTAACTCTGCATTAAGTTTGATCCTGGATGCATCTATTTATTTATATTTATTTATTCATATTTATTTATTTATATTTGTATCTAAATAAATAAGGTCTGCAACAGCTGATGACTGGAATATATTAATAACAAAAATCTAAATATTTAATATGAAGTTGATTTTGCTATGAAAATATATACAGACTTATTTTTAACATTCCATTGCAAAATAAATTAATTCTTAGTCCTATTTTATTTTTTATTTAATTTTTTAGGAAAACATTCCTGAAACAAATGCTTTAAAATTCGAGAATAAGTTTTTGAAGAGTTGTGAAAACTTTGCGAAGATACTGTAAAAATATTAATTCCTAAAAATTCCTACAATACTCGCGATGTAAAATAATAAGAATAATTTTAGCAATGTTACTGTAAACGACCGAATTTGGTGGATATTGGTGGAATCGTTAATCAGATTAATTTTTATCAAAACATCACTAGTGTGGGATAATATTTCTGAAATATATAAGGAAAAAACTTCTGGCAAAATATATTTTCTACAAGAAGAAGAAAGAAAAAAAATAAAACTGGATTGTTCATTTGAAACGGCAGATGTGTTTCTACGTCATGGAATTCAGAGTCATGATTTAGTCTATGCTTCCAAATTACATACTGAATTTAAATTACATACTGAATTTTGAATGCAAATTAGCATGCCATGAATAATTTAGAACAAATATGTTTCCACGTCATGAAATTCAGTATCGAGATTTACTCAATACTTCCAAAATACATACTCAATTCGTCAAATTTAATTTTAAATGCAAATTAATTAGTTAAAAAAATCTTCTTTAATACTAACTCGAATTTTGCCTCGATTATTCAATTACTAAGAATAAGCAGAGAACATGTTTTAAAATGAAGTTAAGATAAAATTGTGTTAAAAAAATGATATGAAATTTAATATTGACAATGTTCCTGTTTTTAAGTGCTTTGGAAGCACATCTATTAAAAACGTACCTCGTCATTCGCTGGAGAAGAGCCGGGGTCATGAGTTCGATCGTGGCAACCAATTAAAAAAAACAGGCATGAATACGCAGTATAATGCACTTTAAATATGTCGTGACTGAAATTCCTTTAATTGTCTGCGGTGCGGAATTTTCATAACTGCCAACTCTTTGAGATTAAACTTTATATTTTTAATGTGTCAGAAATTTTTTTTGCAGACATACTCCATTCTTGTTTTAAAATTAAATTTAAAATTATTTTAACTAACATATATTTATATGACGCCCGGTGGCTGAGTGGTAGCGCTTCGCGCTCCGGTGCCACAAGTCCTGGGTTCGATCATCGGGCCGGGCAAAGTAGACTCAGCCTTTCATCCCATCAGGGGGTCGATAAATGAGTAACAAGCATGCTTGGGAACTGAACACTGGGGGTTTCGCGTTCGGCTGACCACCTAATTGGAGCATCTGCTACTGCACCCCAGACCCCAAGGTCAAGAAAACTGAGATGGGCACGGTCGGCCTTGGCCCTATATGGACTGTCACGCCACTGAGTTTAGTTTAGTTCTCTTATATTTATATAGCTTAAAAATATATAAAGAAGACTTGCTAGTTATCTTATCGCTTTCTAAGTGATGACTAAAAGTGAATTAAGTATTTGCCTTCGTTTTTGGAAGAATGTAAAAGTTGCAGGTATGAAGCTTGGAGAGGGGTGGATCAGCTCAGACGCTGTTCACGTCATCTGATCTCGGTTGAAATTAAGAGGCACTCCTGCCATGACTATTAAAAGTGGAGCCCTGGTAACAAAACAAAAAACAGATTTTAATTGCTTGACCCTGGATCGGTGTGTGTTTTTGTTATAATATTTGATTCTTGGCTTATCAAATAAGAGTTAAGTTAATTTGACCATTCACTACCAAATGAGGCAATTCTTTTTTGATAATCGAAAAGAAAATCGTTTGAAACTATGTAATATGGAATGTGGTTCATTTTAGCGACAATCAAAATCTATTTAATGAGAATTATCTTCATATTTTGAAAGATTTAACTTTCAAACATAGACTTAACCACATTGAATTAGGCAAATTTTGCTACATCATTTCGTAGGAAGCTAAGTTAGTCCCAAATTGTAAAACGCGTATAAAAAGATTTTAGATGAATTAATTCAAAATATTGACAATTTCAGGTGCCTTGGGCGTAATTTGGTACATCATTTGGGCATTCCTCATTTATGAAACACCCTACACACATCCAAGTATTACAGAAGAAGAAAAACTTCTATTTAAAGGTGAAATTAGCATGAGAAATAAGGTAACTATTACATTTTATTACCTTTGATGACAATGATTAAGTCATCAAAAATAAAACTTGCAGGAAAAAAAGCTATCTCGGTGGTGGATATCTCGCATATACAAATAATTACTTTACTCATTGGAGTATGAACCCACATTATCTAGACACTTTTAACCATTTAAGAGGCAGGTTGTTCAGACTCTGCCAGGCACGAAAAAGAAATAAAAATTATTCACAAATGCTAATTTTTTAATAAATTAAAAAAGACATTTAATTACAACATCTTAAAAATGACGATGTTTTTAGTGTAGGTAATAAGTTAGATAAAAAAATCCTATAAATTTATTATCAAAAACTTGCTTAGTCATAAATTTTACTCTCTCCTCTTGCTTTGGTATTTAAATAAATTATTATCCATTGTGAATTTTTGAGGAAATTTTACAATGTGAATTTTTGAGGAAATTTTACAATGTGAATTTTTGAGGAAATAGGGCGTGGTAAATAGAACTATTTTGCATATTCGTTATTGTCATCTCAAGGACATTTTTTATATAGTTTGATGTTATTTTTCAAATGATAAAGCCACGAATTTGAGGTGAAAATAAAAATAAAACTCAACAGTGGTACCCCCTATATAGAAATAACCAAATGATAATAATCTTTTTAATGTTATATAAAAATGTTGTAAGTCTTGGTAAATGCTGTTTTATTCCTTTTTTCTTTCTTAGGATCTAAAAGTTCCATGGAAAAGCATTGCAACTTCTATTCCATTCTGGGCTGTGGTGGTGACAAATTTTGGACACATGTTCGGATTCAATATTATGATAACTGAAATTCCAACCTATCTCAATTCTATACTTCATTTCAACATCAAATCCGTAAGGCAAATCAATTTAATGTCTCGAAAATGCTGATTTAAAAAATTAATTAAAGAAAATTTAAAGTTTCCTGCTTTCTACTCAAACAAAGAATGACTTTACTTTTGCAAAGTTTCATAATTAGTCATCAAGTTCGCCAGAAGATGACGCTGCTGAACGGAAAAATAAACTATAAAGCAACGTTTTTTGTTGCATATCAGAAAATTTCTGCAGAAAATTTAGCAAGAGGTGTTTGCTAGTTTTACGCTTATATTGCTCCATGTTGTCGCGTTAAATGGCGGCGCCATATCTTTATAAACTTTGTAAGTAATTTTTAAGCTTGGAGAGAAAAAAAAATTCACTTGGTTTCCGAGCAGAACCAACGCCTCCTATAACTGAAAGCCTCCATACGGTTTTTTGTAGGTAGTCCGTTCAGACCACTATGAAGGTAAACCAATTAATTAAAGAACCATTTAATATGAATCTATTAAAAATTAGAAAGTGGTAGCAAATATATGTCTAAAAATTTGTTTCATTTATGAATGTAATTGGTTTGTTTTATTTACTCGTCAACCACTACAGATTCTATTCTCAAATATATATGATACATTTCTCTCATTTACTTTTAAAATATTTCACCTTTCAGTTGCGCTTCGGCGATTTATTATTTATTTCCACTCAGATGAATTAGTTGGAGCCCCTAGCGGGGCTGATGCTAAGATAACCAACACATATGAGTATGAGAATGAGTACTTTTAAAATAGATTTTTCATGTACATTTTTATTACTTGTAATTTTGTCATTGCCTAATAATGGCAAAGTGCAATTTTTCTTTTCTCAAGAACTCATTTTGTCATGTATGTTTCTAAGTTTAACTTCAAGATGAATGGGAAAAGGGCCGTAAGGCCTCAGATGCCCAGTTCCACTACAACGAACGAACGAACTTTTAAAATAGAATTTGGGTTCATGCGCACAAGTGCAGAGATACATTTTAAAGAGGTAGTTTTTCAGTTTAATAAATTTTAAGTTTAATAAATTCAATTTAATAGATTTTTATCCACCACTATTTTTAAATAATTCGTAATATTGATGTGTCATGCTATATACCCTTTAAAAAGCAAGCAAAAATAGTCAAGTATTTGCAAAGTTTACTTTGTAGTTATTTACCGCTTTTTTAATTATTTTGGCGTGTCCGGAGCAGTTGGCATCTCTGAAAGTGGTTTGCTTTTTAAATAATCTGCGCAGACAGACTACTTATAAGATACCGTTTGGAGGCTTTCTGACGTAGGAGGTGATGACAGAACGCAGCAAATCGTACCTTTTTATCACCTTCCAATTTTCTTCTTTTGATTTGTCAAATTTCTTAGGATCTTTCAGACACCCGGTTAACCTTTTCAGGACGGGTGAGTCATAAATATAGTGGTAATAAATCAGAATCAGGATAGTAAAAAATAAGAAGCGGAAGCCTAAGTTTGGGCATAGCAAATTTGGCAGACTTTTTCTTGCTTTCACTTTAAATCTAACACATCCAATCCTAGTGCGTTAATAGTCTAACTATATAATTTTTAATTCGAACTAAGTTGTGTTTTAATTCGAATAGTTGTTTAATTCGAATTAAATAAAGCAAACTATTATTATCCCACCCATAAATAAACTGCTATAAAAATAGGTTGGCTACCAGTTTTATCTTTTTTTGTCCTGATTATCGACAACCTGAGAATGCATATATGACTCACTCGTCTCGAAGAGGTTAAAAGAACACTCTGAAGCGTTAAGGGGAAGTCTTATCAATTAGACTACCGGTCATAGCATTGTTTAACTAATTTCCTTCGATTGTGACACATTTAATTCATTTTTTCCCCATCGTTGCTTAACAATGATTTTGTTTGAGGAGAAATCCCCATTAAACAGCACAGATTTATCCCTTTTAATGTCTAGAGTGAAAATCTATTAAGGAATCTTATATGTTACGACATTGTTTAATCACGCTTCACACGTAAGTAACTAAATATAATTTCTACAACTTCTTGGTAGTTAATGTAATGTAATTAAATTATTAAAACTATTCAACTAAATATAAAAATGTTCTAGCATGCATGATTTACCAATAATTTATTAAGTGTTTAAATTCATTTCTCATTTATTCCCTTACCGTAACAATGTGAGTCATCTGTTCGAACAATCAAAATCTTTGCAAATATTTTGCCCAAAACTTCATTTTTAAAATCTCAGCAAATGTTGTTAGACAAGATTAAGACAAATAAAAATATTTTTTGACAAATTTTTATTATATTTTTGACCAAGAATTAATAATTCAGAAATACTAAATTTAGATGAAAATATTTGTTCAGTTTTCTTATATTTCGAACTAAACAACCCTTAAATAAATAATAAAGCAATTATTTAAAATTAACGCGTGTTTAAAATAAATGAGGTGTACGACAATTTCTTTAATTTTAAAATGATTAAATGTCAAATTTGTAATTTTTTAATTTAGGTTTTCGAGGTTCAATACTTATTTTTTTCGGTAACTTATTATATTTTATGGTATTATAAATTTCCCAAAACCTTAAATTACACTTTTTTCTATTTATGTTTAAAAATTTTTTTTAAATCTTATGGATACAAATATAAGTTTAAAAAAAACTATGACAGAACTCTAATAATGTACGCTGATTAAAATGTTTGTTTATAGAGTGGAATTTTGGCGTCTTTACCCAATATTTCTGATGCATTGGGTGCATGGACTGGAGGTTTCATATCAGACAAACTTCGGTCATCAGAAAAGTTGAATATAACCACAATACGTAAAGTATGTAATTCAATAGGTAAGAACATGTTTTTGTTCAAATATACTGTAGTTTCATAAAATAGATCAAAAAGATAAAATGATAATAGACATTGAAAGTGGAACTGTTTTAAAGAGATAAGTGAAAATAGATTGTAAAAATAGATCAGTTTCAAAAAGATAATTAAAAATAGATCAGTTTCAAGAAAATAAGTGAAAACAGGTTGCAAAATTAGATCAGTTTTAAAAGGATAAGTGTAGGATAGGTTGGAAAAGGATAAGTGATTAAATAGATCCATTTCAAAATAGTAGATTGTATAAATACAAAAGTTTCAAAAAGATAAGTGAAAATAAATTAGTTTCAAAAAGAAAAGTGGAAATAGATTCTGAAATTAGATCAGTTTCAAAATGATAAGCGATAATAGATCAGTTGCAATCCTCCATATATACTGCTGTGTTTCATTCAGTTAAAACATTACCGTTAAGTTTAAAGGTCAATTCTCTATCACTTTCTTTTATAAAAAAAACTTTTACATTAGTGTAAAATGAGGCGTGTTCTTTCGCAGACATAGCTTTCAGGTAGACCTAATACAAAATTTATTTTCTCAATATAAAGAGAAAAAATAATGGTCTAATACAATTTCTTATTAATGTCGATACATTGTTATTGACCAAAAGAAAAACATTCGTTAATTAGCAAAGAAGATGTAGAAATCTTATACAAACTACCTGAATTTAATGAAAATTTTAACAATATTTTACCTGCAAGCTATAACTTACCTGCAAATCTTTAAATTTAAAAATATGTATCTCTTTATTATTTTGGTTCTACTTACGTTATAATGACCTTTAATTTAAATGAATTGAAATTAGTTAACCATCATAATGTATATATATCATTTTTGTTATATAAACTACTTTTAATATATTTTCATTAAAATGAAAAGTTACAATCGTGAAAACACAATTTATGTTGATCAACACAAATGAGATTAGGGAAAACAATATAAATAAATAAAAGAGTTAATAATATATATTTCGTTAGCGTTTTATAATTATTTAATGGTTAGTAAGTTATTACTTTTTTTAAGAATTTTAATTTAATAAATGTTACATAATAAATTTTAATTTTCATGAAAATAAATTTTATTTATAACCCAATAACGCATGCGACTGAAGTAATTATTAAAAATTTGTCTTTGAAAGTGCAAAGAAACCCTAGGAATTTATTCAAGCATGATTATTAAGAAATGACTTCTTCGATAAGTATTTTATGAATTTTGTAGTGCGTTAATGTAGTCGTAATGATAGTCGAGAAAAATTGTTGGCTATAAAATTTATCCTATCAAAGTCAAATTCATTATTCAATTTTAATTAATTTATAAAATTAATTAAAATTGAATAAATAAATTAATGTCTTCCTACACGTAGCTGGATTTGTTCCCACAATCTGCATGGTGGCCATAGCTTTTTCTGGCTGTCATTCTGTCGTCATCATATTTTTGCTTACTTTCGGACTATTTCTGAATGGATTTAAATATGCAGGATACACAGCAACAGCAGTTGACATGACACCTGATTTTGCAGGTAAAAATTACTTCTTTTAATGATCCATCCAACCAGCGATTCATACATGATGAGTCATTCATACATATATGTATGAATGACAAGCAAATTAATTACATTTCATTAAAAAAGCAACTATGTTTTATTTTCCCATTTTTTCCCAATTATTTCCATTGAAAGGCAATATGCACGTAACTTCTGTTAATTTGGAAGAAATGGCCTTGTAGGGTATCAACCACTATAAAAATATAATTTTAAATTCAGTAGTATATAAAACTTGTTAACTCAATTGTTCAATAAAGCAACTTTTCTTAAATGATGGTTGACTTTAAAACGCATATAGATTGGCAACAAAAAAAGCTTTAATATTGAATGTTTTATTGATTAAGATTTAAAATATGCTCATCTATACACTGCCTTTTTATAAAATAATTTGACAAACTGAAAAAAACTTAAAATTTATTTGTTTTAAATTTCGAAACTAATTTTAAGTAGGCACTACTTTAAAACCTCCTGGAGACTAAGAAATAAAATAAAAGTTTTATATTCCTTGCTTGATATAGTAAATTTGTTTTTAATACAGTGCATGAAAAATCCTAAAGTTAAGAGATTTTCGTTGCATGTTTTAGTCTAAGAATTAAAAATGTTTCTAAATTTTACATACTATGTAGTGTACTTGGTCAAAATACCCAATTTAAAATAAAATAAAACAGAAAAAATACAGATGGCAACATACTACTTTGAAATTCTGAAAATTAATTTTCACAAATTTTTGTACTTGTTGCAAATTTCTCAACAGATGGCGGTGCTGGCGGCTTAAAATATAAAGAAAATTCTACTAGTTAGATAATTAGAAACCTGCAAGTGACATCAGTCTGTATATCGATTTTGATTGGCTGTTGAAGCTTGATATTTGTTTATGTTAATGATTGTTCTTCCCACTCTATTTCGAGTAAACCTAGCCCGAAAATATGAATATTCTTAAGTGGCACATTGTAAATTCTTCCACAAAGAAAAATTTGATTTATTCTTACTTAACCCGACGACCGGCACGAAGCAACGTAGAACATAAACAGACTAATTATACAATGAAGTTGCCAGATGAACAAATCAAAAATTATCACGGCTAAAATAAAATACATAAAAAAATAACAAATCTAGGTTTAATAAAGTATGTAGATAAGAATGAATTATATTTAACAAATTCCATATGTGATAANTATCTCGAGGTAGCGGGTTCGAATCCCACCGTAACCCTGGATGTATTCTTTGTGATGTCTTTCTCTGAATTGTTCTATCTGTATTTTCTACTTGACAATGACTTATAAGCCTATATTGAGCACACAAGTCAGCAAATGCATGTAATTTCAATAAATCAATAAATAAGTTAGATTCCGTCACTAACGATCCACAAAAGAGCTTCTTTCTTTATTTCGTTTCTAGGCGCAAGGCAGAATGTAAAAAAACATAAAAAACAGTAGAATTCTAAAGTAAACAGAAAACGAAACCTTGAAATGTGGGCGTGGCACTTTTGTTTACTTTTGTTTTATTGCTTTTAAAGCACTTTAAATTTATGAAAATTAGCAAACCTATATATTTTCTTAATCAGAAAAGTATAGGCTAATAGATGATGTAAAATTCACAAAAATCAAATTTTTGAAAGAATTTTACTTCACTGTCCCCTTAAGTGACACATTGTAAATTCTTCCGCAAAGAAAAATTTGATTTATTCTTACATAACACGACGACCGGCACGAAGCCACGTAGAACATAGACAGACTAATTATACAATGAAGTTGCCAGATGAGCAAAACAAAAATTATCACGGCTAAAATAAAATACATAAAAAAATAACAAATCTAGGTTTAATAAAGTATGTAGATAAGAATGAATTATATTTAACAAATTCCATATGTAATAATGCGCAGTATTTAATTTATTTCACGTTAATTAGCATTGTTACTTGTGTGGAGAAATTTATCTCGACCTTAGCAATAACCAGAATACAAACGAATTATTAACAACCAGCTGAGGCTGAGGTCATAAGTCAGGTGACTGTGTATTAGTGGTCTTCTCAAGTTGCAAGTACCCAATTCTACATGAAATATCTCGGGCAACAAGTAATATTGATCACAAACTGCGTCACATTGTTATCAGTTATGATTATTATTAATAGATTGTTTTAAAGTGTTCCTCGGTAATTGTCGCTACCTGTTAACGAAATTCGTAACGCCAGTTGAAAACTGGTACACATAAACTAACATGTTTCTTAAGTAGAATGCAGGAAACTGTGCATTTCTTCAATTGTTTTTTTCAATTCATCGGTCACTTTTGCTACACGACAAAGTAAATCTAATGCAGCAAATAAAAGAAAATTTATTCTTATTGTTTTCACGTTGAATTTTTGCTAATCCTTATTTTGTCATTCAAACTTTTTTTTAAAAAATTTTTAGGTGTAATATATGGATTGACTAATGGAATAGGAAACCTGTCAGGCGTTATAGCACCCACTATGGTTGGAGCTATCATTTCAAATGGGGTAATGCTGACAAACTTAATAATTTTTGCTAAAAAAATATTTTTCCTAGTATTTGTAAGAAAAAGTAGATTAAAAGCATTAAAGTTAACAAAAATTAAAGAAAAATTTCCCACAATTTAGAATATTATGCAACAATGTCAGGACTTTGCATAGAATTTTTTAAGTTATTTAACGTGTTATAGTGGTTACTATACTTCAAAATTTATTAAAAAAATATCGATTATTAAAATAGAAGTATTGCAAATCTCTGGCAAAATATTTCACAAAATACATGTAAGTTTTCAGGCATATTTAATGCTTTATCTAAAGTTCTTATAATAAACAATTATTTTTCCTATTTCTCACGGAATATTTCTGTCTATAAAAAAAAATGTCATTTATTTTTGTATTTGTTATTGGCGGTGTTTTAGGATGAAAAAATATTTTGAAAAAAAGAGTAAGAAAAATCACTGAGCTACTTAATACAACAGATACGAATTACGGTTCCGTAAAATATCCACAGTGGTAGGCGAATCATGGGTTAGAATCCCCTAGCCACCGGTCTCATTGTCCAGCTAATTAGCCGTCAAACTAATTTTCGTCGTTCTCCTCTCCACATAACACAAATACGTGTTAATTCTATCAAACCGCGATTGCAATATTTTTCAAATACTCGACTCAGAAGTTGTCCTTTGTCTTCTGGGTAGGGTTCAAAACCTACCTAGAAGACAAGGCGCAACTACATGCAATGCTACGGAGTTGAAAATCGATAATTGTAAACTCAGAATCGGGTCGGCTGTACCACGCCGGTTATAAAAATATGAAAAATAAAATTAAATAAAAATACTGCAAGCAATGATCGGGATTGGAAAGCGGTTGTGTTGTGACAGGCGGATTAACCTTCTAGTTAATTAATATATACACTCTATAGCAAATAAATCGACGCACCAAGAAGGAGTTGTCCGATTGAAACGAAAATTAGTGGATAGGAAGACAATGTACAGAATAGTAAATGATTAACATTTCAAAACAATTGAATAATTTATTGCAGAGTTACAGTAACAAGTTCAATAAGGTGTTGACCCGCCTCTAGCCTGGATACAAGCTGCCACACGGCGTGGCATAGACCGATAAAGCTCCCGGATGGTCTCTTGCGGTATTTCCTGCCAAATTCGATCCAATTGTCGAACGAGGTCATCAACATTCCGTGCCAGATGCAATCGCCTTCCCATCATATCCCAGACATGCTCGATGGGAGAGAGATCTGGTGATCTGGCAGGCCAAGGAAGAGTTTGACAAGCTTGCAGACAGTTCATAGCAACACGTGCCGTATGTGGTCTGGCATTGTCCTGCTGAAAAACCAGCCCAGGGCGCTGCAAAAGGAACGGTAGCAAAACAGGTCTTAGGATGTCGTCGACGTACCGCTGTGCAGTAAGTGTACCTCTAATGACGACCAAAGGGGTCCGGCTGTCAAAGGAAATGGCACCCCAGACCATAATGCCTTGTTGAGGGCCGGTGTGGCGTGCAATAGTGAAGGCAGAATCCCCCCTCAGCCCTGTGCGTCTCCAAACACGTCTTCGATGATCGTTAGGACACAGTTGGAAGCGGGATTCGTCGCTAAAGACTGTACGTCCCCAGTCGGAATCATTCCAGCCACATCTGTTCAAAACATTCATGCATACGAAATTTCAAAGCAATCGGATGATTGCTTCTTGATGCGTCGATTTTTTTGTTATAGAGTGTATATAATTTCTCTTGTAATTTCAGGTTACCATAGCAAACTGGAGTAGAGTCTTCTGTATCACAGCAGGAGTTTATTTTTTCACAACAGCATTCTTTGCTGTGTTTGCCTCTTCTGAGTTGCAGCCCTGGGGAAAAGCAGAACCAGAAAATCCAAAGGAAGAGAAAAGTTGATGTTAAAGACCAAAATTAACTTGAAATTGATATTAAAAGGCTTATAAATTTCAACCTTTGGAAAATTCTGAATGTTCAAAAATAGTTTGAGAACTTGTTAAAACAAATTCACACCTTCATTACTGCAAAAAAAAAATTATAATAACTAACTTCTCTATCAAAGCAAAGGGGGGATTTACTTCTTAAAAAGGAAAGAAAGAATACACTTCTCCACTAAAGCAAGAAAAAAAGGAATACACTTCTCCTTTAAAGCAAGAAAAAAGAATACGTTCTCCATTGAAGCAAAGCAAACAAATACATATGTATCTATTAAAACAAGAATAAAAGAACACCATGAAAAGAACACTATGAATTTCACCATGAAACAAAAATAAAAGAATGTACTTTTCTATCGAAGCAAAAAAAAAAAAAAACATTTTGACGAAAGGATAAAAGAATACACTTTTCTATTAAAGGAAGTAAAAAATTACATTTCCACATTAATGCAAAAATATATAATTAAATACACTTCTCCATTGAAGAAGGAAAACAGAATACACCTCTCCGTTAAAGCAAGAATAAAATAATGCTCTTTTTCATTAAAGGAATCCCTTCTCCATTACAGCAAGGGAAAAACGAATTATCTTCTCCATTTTGTATCTAATAAGAAAAAGTATTCTGCAGGGTATTTCGTAATGACTACCTTGAATATATATCTTTAGAATCCTTGTTAAAAATGTCACTATTTAGGAAAAAAAACTGCAAAACATCAAAACTCGTTATGTCACCATATGAAATAAAGACCTTTAAACCATAAGGCACTAAAACTTGCTCCATTGCATTTGAAAACAGAAATATGTTTAAAGACCTTCATTTCGTCTAACAACTTAAATAGTTTGGATATATTTAGTTCCCCTGTTTCTCAACAGTAGTTAGTTTTATTTCGGCAGTATTTTTGTATCTTCCTCAATTAAATATTATTTAGCAACAACTAACGCGTATATATTTTTGACAGAGATTCAAAAACATATATATTGAAGATCAGGATCACAAAATATTCTGCACCTCTATGTGTGCAGAAAATATCTGGTAATTTACAAAGAACATTCTTAATATATTGCACTAATTGAAAGAAGAAGAAAAAACGTTGCCTGTACATTAGTTGATTGAACGCGAATTCAGATACATGGTTTGAAAAATATTGAAGTTACATTACTTTGCTGTACACAGAATATAAGAACTGCTTCAGAACAAGTGCAAAATAGTGTGACGTTATTAAAGCCTTGGAAAATCCAGTTTTAACAGACGAACATGGAAGAAATGACGTAAGACTCATCAAGATAATAACAATTTAGTTTTTATTTGTTTGTTGTCATAACTAATTAATAAAAACTGAAATGATTAACCCTCATTCAAAGTGACTTATTCTATTGAACGTAGAAACTGCAAGCATATTGTCGGGCAATTCAAAAAACAACTTAAATGCTTCTCGATTGATTCCGAGAAAAGTGCCTTGACAACTATTTCCCTTCCATTGCTAATGGTCTGAACGCTAAAATAGAATTTTAGAACAACTAATAAAACAAAATTTATTTTTGAAAGTAATTTTTTTGCAATGCTTATCATACAAAGATGCAAAATATGTGAAAATCTCAATTTTGAATTTTTCGTCGCTTACGTTAATTTTTCAATTGCACGGCAGCATAGGAGTCTTAAGGAGTTCACCTGACAGCAACAGAGTATATCGAATAATGTATAATTATGTTTTTACTTAAGTTTTTATATTAATCAGTTTGAAACTTAAAATTAATGAGAATTTAATAAATATAAATGTATTTAATTTTTAATTAGCTTAATTACATCAAAAGTAATTAAGCTAATTAAAATAATAATAAGATATAAATGAAGTTTTGAAGTATTTTGCTTTTCATTTCAATTTTGTCAGCATGCATTGTAGTGTGCGACGAAGAATACAATATACCTTAAATTTTCCAGCAGTTGTATGGAGAAAACAGTCAACAAGATGCAAAGTTTAATAACTGTTAATTAATATCTCCTACAAAGTTCATAGAAATTTAATTAAACTTAATTAAAAATTTAATTAAAATTAATTAAAAATTTGATTAAAATTAATTAAAAATTTAATTAAAATTAATTAAAAATTTAATTAAAATCATAACGTTTTGAACTTTAGGAGATTTCGATCAAATTTCAGCCCTGGTACAAAATTTTTGTAATCAGAAAAATTTATAAGAAAGAAAAATTAACTTTCATAAATAAATACTTACATAATTCTTATATTTCCCCTTAATCAGCCCTAACTCTACTCAACTCCTATTTAATTTCCATACCATCTGTTTTAGTTCTTTAATGGCGAAAATTTTGGTTTTCCATGCAACTGTTTATTTTTTTTCCTTTGTTATTTATTTTTATTTTATTAAATTTTGAGAAATGCTCCATCCGTACAATGGAAATTTTGTTAAAAATAAAATGTAATCAGGGTTTTTGATCATAGAAAAATTATTAAGGATAACAGGAAAAAATTATAGTTTTTCTTCTTATATAAAATTTTCATTCTAATTTTCACATATATATAAGAGACTAGTATCCATATAAAGGAAACCCGAAATTTTGAAGTTGAAAGCAAAAAGAAAACTAAACAAAAAAAACCTATATTTTAAAAATAAAATTTTAATTCATTTTTACATTTAACAGTATTTTATGAAAAGATTGCCGAGCAATGACAAAAAAGACAATGAAATAAAAAGTGTACAAAAACATTCAACATCTGAAACTTTAGATAACTAGATCTTACAAACTATCTTTCAGATTCGTCCTTAAATAAACTTCATGATTCTAATGTCTTCTAAGGGGAAAAAAAGCTTAACTACTATGACTCTCACATAATAATTATTAATAATTAACATAAATAATTAATAAAATCAGATCAGCTGCATTTTTATTTATAATGCTTACAAATTTTCCAAATATATCGTTAAGTAATACTTAAGTCTGTCTTTCGAAAGTTTCGTCGCAATATGAAATTATGCTTTTCTGAGAATAATGTGCTATTTTTATTACTGCTCTGAGCTTGCAGCTGTTACTCATGACTAGGACTGGGCAATATAAGAAATTTTATATCGTGATGCATCGTCAGTTTTGCATCGCGATATAGCGATGTATCGCGATATAGTATTTCTGAATTTCATTTACTTGTAAGGCACAGAAAGTCAGATTTCTATCAAAACATCATACTCAGATTGATTTAAATCAATTTATGAATTTGAAGATATATATGTTTTGCCTAATAAAGATATTAATGTTATATATTCTAAAAATGATCACGCAAATAACGAAAGATTTCTTAGTTTAAAAATAAATAATAAAAAAATAAATAAAATTGAAATTTATCAATACATTCACCTAACAATATAGAAAGAAAATTTAAAGAATTAACTCGTTGAAAATTATTTGTATGCTTAAAACAAAGTGCTAAATAAATTTTAAAAAAAAATGCTTTTGAAACACTATTTTTTATCATTATTATTTCACATAAATAAGTTAAATTGAATTATTACCGAATTCTGAACGAAAAAACAAAGTAAGGTTTAATTTCTTAAAAATAAAAACAAAATAATTATGATAATCGATAATATATTTAACTGACAATATTGAAAGAAAATTAAAAAACACGATTTAATAAAACGAAGTGGTAAATGATTTAAAAAAAAAAGAAGTCTCAAACCTTGCTAATTTTTTTGAATAAACAAAGTTGATTGACTAACGTCCAAATCCAAAAGAGGAAAAATAAGTTTTGTTATAATTTTATTTATAAAAATAAAAACAACTAAAGATTTATGAATTTAAAATCACTAATAAAAACCCAATAAATTATTAGAAGTTTTATCCAAAAAGTTTTTTATAAATTAAAATAAAGTAAAAAATAGCCTAACAAATTTAATTACTTTGTAATTGAATTCTTTAAGGGCACCTTAAATTAGATTTCCGATTGTAATAAATTTAATAATGTAAAAAATTACTTAAACACATAATATCGAAATTAATTTTCACATATAAAAATAAAAGTTTTGTTTTAAAAACAACTTACCTAATTAATTAAGAAACACTTCTTTATATATTCTTTTCAATAATAGATTACGTTCAGAACAAGGTAACGACGGCGATCACAAAGTCAGTTCCATTGAAAATAATCTACTAGAAACGATATCAAGTCGCGACAAAGCAAAACTATGAGGCGCGAAAACGAACATGCGAAATCACGATATCAATCAAGGCCATTTCAACATAACGAAACGAACATCGTCTTCCACAGCGCGAGTTGGCATCGGAACGTAAGATAAGATCATTGCGTGACTTGTATCGTTATATCGTTTTGCGTTCGTCTTTTTTACTCGGCGGCTTAAATCAATTTTCTGATGCATCGCCTGAAACGAAAGTCGATGTATCGGTATATCGTTTTGCGTTCGTCTTCTTTCCTCGACGGCTTAAATCAGATTTCTGATGCATCGCCTGGAACGAAAGTCGCTGTATCGGCCTGCCAATATAGGCGTTAAGTCGAAATGTCGCGATACATCGATTTATAGCCCAGTCCTACTCATGACAGTTAGGTCAAATTTATTTTATCTACACCCAGCATTGTCAACGCTTATTTTGAAAATGGCTCAAAACGTCAAAAGGAAGAAAAGCCGCAATTTTGTGAAAAGGAAAAGCGCTTGTTGACTAATTTTTTAATATTCAAAAACCTACTTTACATTTCCTGAGTACAAAAATATTTGCAGAAACTGAGAATAAGGCAGTGATTTTGATAAGTTTTAACAAAGGGAAAACAAATTGACCAATTTTCCAGCTTAAAAAAAGTTTAATAACTTTAAAAATATTAAAGTTATTTGTCTGTTCTAAAGCCCAGATAATTCGTCAGGGCAATATTATAAATATAGTTTAAAGTTTTCGCATTGATTTAAGTGTACGGCACTTAAACTATAACATTTTATTTGGCGGCAGAGAACTACAGCGTTAGTTATATAGCAATGAATTATAACAGAAACAATTATCTTCTTATGTTCTTTCAATGAAATATTTCAAAATAGAAAAAAGGAATGCTTGAGCAACTGTTTAACAAGGATCTCCAAAGTTTGTTTTGACATTTTTAATATCAATATCCGTAACTGCTTGCTTTTCGTCTTTCGATTCACTGTTAGCTGTTCCCCATGGCTGTAATTCAGCAGATGCGAACATAGCGAATATAACTCCACAAGCTATATAGACAGCAGCAGTTGTGTAAAAGACTTTACTCCAGCTTGCAAGAGTTGCCTAAAATTAAACATCAGACTGACTTGTTAAGTACCTGTTAGAAACTTAGAATAAGTAAAGTAAGATTTCATTATTTCATTTAAAAGCCATTATTTTGAACTTCGGATAATGTGTGTCAGTTGGATCGTTTGATTGGCTTGATTTCTTTTTACATTGAAGTAGGTAATGAAAAATGAATATTATGCAAGTTGGAGCTCTTAAAAACATTTCCACTTTTCTGCAGAAAAATTCGAAGTTGAAGATCATTTTGTTAACACGTTGAATGCCACGCTAATTTTACATGGCTTGCCCGTCTGGCCACAACGGTAAATAACTACAAACTAAATTTGCAAATATTAGACAGATTTTGCTAGTTTTTTAATAGATTTAGCCTGACATATCTGATAAAAGTGGTGAGTTATATTAGCCTACGAATTGTTTAGAAATAGGGGTGGATATAAATCTACTAAATAATCTTTGCCGGTCACCGTTGGCCCCCGTGTCACTACGAACAAACTCAGTGCCGGACACCGATGACCCCCATTCAATATGTAAAGGTGTCTACACACCGAACGCAACAGTGATGCGAAACACGATTTTTCCCCTCTGTTGCTGTGTGTCTGTTGCAAGTGATTGCATGTACCTTCACACCGCATGCGACAACAAACCTGTTTCCTGGCTAGCGTATGCGCACTTTCTTCTGTATCTAGTTTTTGTTCCACAGCTCATTTTATCGTTATTTTTTGTATTTAAAAAATTATTTTATACATATGAATTACTTTTTATATTTATATTATTTTTTATATTTATATTACTTTATGATTTCAGTACAAGATGCTTCATAAATTGTCGAAATAAACTTTGCGTCACATTTTTGCAAATATTGTATCAATAATTTATACGAAATTATTTATTTTTTATAATTTTTGTCTTTTAATTTTGTCTACTAATTTTTAATACTTAACTAATCTTTTTATGGGAAAAAAATGCATTTTTTCAGTATAAATTTTTCCGACTATAACACGTATTTTTATTTTGTTAAATAAACTAAATTGTTGGAATACTAAATAATTCAAATTAAAAAAGTTAGGGAAAATGAAAAACAGAAATTATTTTATTATCAAAAGGTCATGTTAGGAAAAAAAAATTTTTTTTCAGAACATTGTTGTGAACAATATTTTGAATATTACAAATATATCAAGTTTGCAACTTAACATTTTATATAGACGTGATAAAAATGAATTTATTTCCATATGCAAATGCTTCAATATAGTTTTTTCTTACATTCGCAAGTTGATAGGAATTTATGAGGAATATACTAATAGTAGAAAAGATTTATACTATTAATTTTTCGCAATTAATTCAAAATACTTTTAGAGAATTAATTAAAGAAAAGTACCTATTCAATGCATTTTTCATAATTAACAAAACGCACTAAAATAGCTTAAACCTAAGTGAGATTAGCAGATTAATCCCACTTTAGAATTTAAAAAATTTATCTCAGGAATTTATGAAATTAGAAACACTGTTTCTAAATCAAGACCTATCAATATATATTTTTAATCAATGTTCTTAAAAATTTATATTATTTTATATATATGTAATAAAAATTTCAACGAAGATTTTTATAAATAAGAACATTTAAAGTACATTTTTGTAATAAAAATGTCTTTTAATGTCTTTCAAATATATTCAAATATTTTATCTAAACATAAGTCACTATGCTCTGAATGACGTTAACATTAAAATCATACGTGATTTCATCGTATTTTCCCTTTGAGATTAGAAATATATAGGAATCGGATTGAATCTCTGAGAGTCTGCAACAGCGACGGAAATTGAACTCCATCCAATTCTTGAAACCAGTGCGACGGCAAACGCTGGTTGTTGCAACAGAGGGAGGATGAAAGAAGTGCGCATGCGCGAAGTCATTGCAACATGCGATTTGTTGCTGTTGCAGTCGGTATGGAGACTCCTTTAAAGTGAAGTATAAGTATGTTTCAAGGGGCTTATCTAAAAAAAGCAACGGCACCCCTAGGTTTTTTTGCCTTGTTTTTACCCATGCAGCATAATACGTAATCTAAACGTAGATTTTGAGGAAATTGGTAACGTCAATGCGCTTTATGCGTAAAATTTACGTTGTATTAATGGAATGATATTACGATTGAAATATTCGATTAAAAAAAAAGCTTTGGTATATTTTATGTAATATTAACGGAATGGATTTCACCAACTACCTTTCAGTAAGATTGATTTCGCATAATTTACGAAAGATTGACAAAAGAATATTTACTATTTAGATTTACTAAAACGATTATGTGCATTTTACTTATTATGGACAAAGCAAATTTACTATTAAAATTTTGAGTGTGTTTTTGAGTGAGTGAGTTTTTTCTGAAAGCCTACCCGGAAAGAAAGAGTGAGCTATTTCCTGAGGGCACTGCCTTAAAAAGAACGACGTCATTTGAAACAGAAATGATAGCAGTCACCGACACGCCAGCAGAAACCTCAGTAATAGCACTAACCTCCGATCCTGAGATTACAGAGCCTGCTCCTGAAACAGTAGGATGATCCTGTCAACATGGAGACGATTCATGAGCTAGAATAAGAAACCAAACAACAGAAAGAGTTAGAATACGACTTAAAACAGCCTCCGACCAAGAGACACAAAAAGAAAAAGAATCTCACCAGCGAACCAGAAAAGTCGGATGAAGACGCGACTGCAACAACTATACAGCAGGAAGCCATAACTACAGCTTCAGCTACAAATGAGACTGCCTCTGCAATAGCTGGACAGAAAAAATATCTAATGCCTAGTCAAAATTCTCATGTAACGACATAACACCGACGTTACGATTCGAGATATCGAAAAAGACCTACTAGACTTTGGGCTACGACCAATAAGAATCGAGCCAGATGAGAAAAAGGCGTGGCCAAAAGTACAAGCTCCTCCCCTTCCTCCTAGTCATTCTCACAGACACGAGAGATCTTCAACATTGAACAGCTTTAGACTACACCAGTTCGGATAGAAATATTTCTTTTTGACTATCACGAGATTTATTGCTGCAGATGCAAGAAGTTTGGTCTCACACGCAAAAGTCCCGCAATGCCGAGCCAGCCTGCATGAAGTGTGCCGACGCGCATTTTACGTACTTAAGTGCGTCGTACGCACTTATGTTCTTCTAGCAAAAAGAAAAAGAAATGTAATCCCACCAACGAACCAGAAAAGACAGATAAAGCAGGGCTTGAAAAAACTCAGAAATTTTACCCGTCCCCGAGGACGGCTTGTCCAACAATATACCCGTCCTCCTTTGAAACTAACCCGTCGCTTCTAAATAAATAAAAATATTATTTTTTTCTTATTTGATACAAATTACACAATAAATTAGAAGCTACTAGGATTATATTATGCAGTAATAAAGGAAATACTAGGTTACTAATAGTAAAACCTAGTATTTCTTTTATGAAATAATTTATTTCTTTTATGAAATAATTTAAATGACAAAGGTCAAGTTATCTGGAATGTCAATTTTTCCGAGGGTACTGCGTTTTTTAAATGAATCAAATATGACGTTTGCTAGTTCCACAATCAAGCCTATGATTTAAAGAGGTTTCTGCACAGAAATCTGAAAGGGGTTTTCCATTCAGGTGGATGTTCATAATTGCGTTTAACGCTTACGTAATGTGTTTTTTTGTAAGTTCATTGCCGAAAAGTCCATTTCAGCTGCTGCAGTACTCCCAGCCGGAAAAAAAACATCAATCCACCATGCGCAGCATGTTGCTGTACGGGATTTCTAGATTCGAGAGTCATTTTAGAAGTGAGGCGCTGGACTCTTGTAAGATAACAAAAATTGAAAGTGTATCACGAACATTAACGGGAAAATGGCCGTCCGCGCGGACGTCTGATTCGAGAAATTCGCTGTCAGCGGGAAATTTTTGACCGCCGAGGACGGGCGGACGGGCTGTTTTTCGAGCCCTGAGATAAAGACTCCTCTACAGCAACTATACAGCGAGAAGCCAAAACTACAGCTGCGGCTACGGATAAGACTTTCCCAACTTTTTTTTTAAAAAAGAAATATTTTCCACTGTAACGAAATTTAACAGTAGGTTCCTCAATACCGGGAAAAAATAGATGAGTGGTAGCTAAGTGTTTTCAAGTCTGCTGAAAAATGTTTATATTTATATTTCATTTGTGAACTACGAACTTATTAACGAGTTATTTTCTGTGCCCATATATATTTCCCTTAAATTAAATATTTATTGATAGCTTAAAACACCTAGATATCTATAATCTTCCCTACCACTTTTGAAAACTCTCCAGATCGTCAGTTTAAGTTGTTTTTAGATTAGTATTTTTCATTTTAAATAATTCCTCCATCACTGCTCATCAAAAATTTTAAGTATCAGATGAAATGTAACTTTATGGTAGTTATGTGGTGGTGACATTTTTAAAAAGTGGGCGTAATTATCCTCATTCAACAAGTTTCACTATTTAATTCGCTACCAATTTATGAAATTTTTGTAGATAACGGAAAAGTTGGCATCCCTGTAATCAACTTTTCAGAGCTTTATTATTATTATATATACAGCGGCCTAGGCCAATAGGCCCATACGCCAAATACAATGAATCATTTAAAAGGTCAACAGACCCTTATNTAGACAGTATTGAATTACTTTTGAAAATATTTCATAGAGTGATACACATTAGGAAACTAAAACTTTCACAATTATTGGTAGTAATCTTACCAGCTTATTAACAGCCTCATCTCGAGCAATTTTGCGCTTAAGTGACTTTGAATATGACCTTTTAAATCATTTATATTTAGTGGTATGGAAAATAACTTTAAGCGGATAAAAAAAATATTAAAACATTAACTATCACCAGAATATATTTTTACAAAAAGCATGGAAAGTTGGCAGCCCTGGCTTTACTTACGCTATTCGAAGTCAAAATTCCTACAGTCATTGGAGCTAAGACACCAGAAATATTGGCAATCGAGTTTGTTACGCCATACAATGTTCCTGAAATATCAAACAAAAAGGTAAATATATAAACCTGAGTGCTTAAACGTAATGAAAGCTAAGGAAAAGGTTTTTAATAGTTGAATGCAGCAATCAGCTACTAAAATTCTTTAGGAGAAAAACGTATTAATGTTTAACTCGTTTTCTACCAACCTCCATTTCAGAGAACGTTTTTCTTTTTTTTTTTCAAAACAGAAGAAGGTGGTACAAGAATTGCTCCGTAATTATGACTCGGTTTAAAAAAAACAAGATATTTATTCTAGCGCAATTTGTATTATCTAGCTTTATAAATGTTATATCTAAATACAGAGATATTACGAGCACCCTATAATGTAAATAGTTGTCGAAAATCAATTCATTTTTATTTTTCTAATCTATTCAGTAATTCAATACTGTCTACCACCATAACTTACGGTGCAAAATATTCATATTTTAAATAATATATAAATAATTATATATTTAACCCTTGTATATATTTAACTCAGACTACGTACCTTTACGTTTATTTTGTGATAATTCATGCCTTTTACCTTTATCCACTCCAAAATCGAGTATCTTTTTCTGGCCCTTAAAAGGGCCTATTATATGTTCTCGCAAGCTCGTTTTCCGTTGTATATATTATTGTATTCTTAACCAGTGTTTATATCACAACCTTGTTTATCGTGTATTTTAACTAACTTAGACTGCGTTCTATTACGCTCAACCCATTGCTTAATCATTGTTCTATTCAACACGTATACGCTCGCGTAACCTCTCTAACCCCTTTCCTCCCTTATTCAACATTCAATCTTAGATGAAGGTGTAGATAGCCCTATGGGCTAGGAACACCGTAAGACATAGTTTATATCGGTATATCGTTAAATAATAAAATACTAAACTGAAAGTAATATGCTAGAAAATATTTGCTAATTTCAATATTTTTTAATAGATTTTCGCTTACGATCATCAATTTTTACAATCTTAGTCTACTGTATTATCCTGTATTTGTATTAAAATAACTGAAGTTAAAAAGTTTGCCAAATTTTATCATTTGAAATATGTATTTGCAGCATTATCAAACTTATGGGAAAGACAAGCCTTTTGATTTAATATTGAAAGCAATCACGGAGTTATGAAAGACAAAAACTAAAAGCGAATAATTCTAGCTTGGCGTTATTCTTGGCGTCGTTTTAACATTAGTCGTCTTGGAAATCAAGTAGGTAGTAACCTATAGAGCATGTTGCTGTACGGNCTTTGGATATGTCAATCATCAGGAAGGCTATTGTTTCTTTATTTATGATTGCTCTGCCAGTATAGTCTATTATTCGGAGTAACTGTTTGGTGGTATCTAGTTACCTATAGTCTTCGGTCTAACATAAGTGCAGATTTACTCAATAACTCCTGAAAGAAAGAATGATTCAGATCGGGTTACCATAATCAAGAAATTAAATCCTTTAGTAGTCCAAGCGTAATGACATCTTTCGTTACTGTGCAGCTCAATAACATAGTGTCATCTTTCTTAATTTTCATTCAGTGCGCAGTTTATGTTCAGTTTATTCGTCGGACTGCTAAATTGATCCGTGCTAAGGCATTCTTTCTTCTAGGAGGTGTTGATTTGCCTAGACGTGCATACAATCCCATACCATACATATATACAAGTATTCTCAAATAGTAGTACGCCTTGGGATTTTATATTACTCTTATATTCTATAATATCCTGACAACGGTTACTACAAGTCGCACAACTACTACTGAATTCGCGCAGTTTTAGAGAGTAGTCTTACCAGTTGTAGCATAGATTGTGTATAAATATTTTAATAATTTTGATTTAATAAAAATTTCCCAGCCATTATTTTCACCACTATCTATAAGAAATCAAATTATATATATAAATGTTCTAATCATAATCAATTGGTTTTGTTTGAAAGGTTTTTTGCATAAAATAAATGCGGCGCTCGTTATGGGAGAGGCTGCAGAGTTACTATCAAAATACGGGCTCGAAAATCCCCGACGGACAATGAATTCCTTGAATCCGACGTCCGCGTGGACGGCTATTTTCCCGTTAATTTTCGTGATACATTTTCAATTTTTGTAATCTTGCAAGAGTCTAGAGTAGCGCCTCACTTCTAAAATGACCCTCTAATCTAGAAATCCTGTTAATTGCTTCGTCAGACCAAATGCAGCAAAATGACCCACAATACAGCAACATGGTGGAATTGATGTTTTCTTCGTCTGGGAGGACTGCAGCGGTTGAAAGGGGGCTTTTCAGCGAAAGGGGGCTTAAACAAGAAGCGCTAAATTCAATTATGAACATCTACCTAAATGGAAAACCCCTTTCAGATTTCTGTGCAGAAACCTCTGTAAATCATTGGCTTGTATGTGGTACTGGCAAACGTCATATTTGATTCATTTAAAAAACGCAGTACCCTCGGAAAAATTGACATTCCAGATAACTTGACCTTTGTCATTTAAATTATTTCATAAAAGAAATACTAGGTTACTATTGATAACCTAGTATTCCTTTTATTACTGTATAATGTAATCTTAGTATTTGTAATCCTAGTAACTACTAATTCATTGTGCAATTTATATAAATGTTTGTAATAAATAAGAGAAAATTATATTTTTATTTATTTAGAAGCTACGGGTAAGTTTCAAAGGAGGACAGGTACATTGTTGGGCAAGCCGTCCTCAGGGACGGGTAAAATTTTTGAGGTTTTTTTAGCCCTGCCTGCCAGTAATTTTTTCTTTGAAAACACACCCCACAGTGACCAAGAGCTGTGCTTTCTCTGGAACTGAGGCCGGATGTATACATTTTTCCTTACTTAAGAGTTCTAGCAATTTCATAGTACCCTATGCATATTCAAGGGGACTGCTGCATTGTGACAGCATTGACTGTTAACCAAATTGCTGCAGAACGAATAATCTCAGCAATAAAATACATTTATAATCATTTAAGATGAAATATGAACAAAGATAATAGGATAAAAAAATTTTCTTCATGAACAAATAACTTAACTGTTAATTAAATTAAATTTTTTGAGCTGATAATTGCTTTTTTTTTTTTTAATGTTTCTTCCAGGGTCCTACTGCATTGTAACAACATTGTCTGTTAGCCAAATTACTGTTGAACAAATACTCTCAGCAATAAAATACATTTATAATATAATTAAAATCAAATATGAATAAATATTTAATTTGGTAGGATTCTTCTATTTTCTTTCAGGGTCCTACTACATTGTAATAACATTGTCTGTTAGCCAAATTACTGTTGAGCAAATACTCTCAGCAATAAAATACATTTATAATATAATTAAAATCAAATATGAATAAAGATTTAATTTGGTAGGATTCTTCTATTTTTTTTTTCTTAATGAACAAATAACTTAACTGGTAATAAAATTAAATTTTTATTTTCAGTGTGAGCTGATAACTGTTATTATTTTAATGTTTCTTTTTATAATAAAAATGTCAAATTAAATTCAGAAATTCAAATGCATGCATAAATAGTTTAGCAAATTTGTTGGAGCTTTAGCTTAGTATTTAGGAGAGGAGCTGGTACATCAAAACTGTTTTTGCTCTAGGTCCTTGGCACACCATCTTCATTTCACTTTATTAAAAATTTTTACACAATGGAATTATGAGCATTGCTTTATTTTATGCTTGTTTTTTAAAACTTTTCTTCATTTTAGAAATAAATCTTGTAATGTTTATTATAAAGTTGACCCTCACTAACGCAAAATATTGCTTTACATGAAATGCATGTTTGGTCCCGTGAGTCAGCAATCAATTATTATTGCATTTTACATGTTTAACAGGAAACTGATTATTACTCAACATGAAAGGAAACAAGACACAGCACAGATAATAAGAATGTGAAGGGNCTCTTTTCTTTGTTTTTTATACATTTTATATTTTTGTGATAGAATAAAAAACTTATAGTTGTTCTGCTTCGGAACACAGATGAAAACACAAAATGATGGGCTTCATCAACAATCAAAAATATATACATTTATTTTACAAATTCCATATTATTAGGGTGGCGCCCTTCAGAGAATTAAAAATACAAAATTATCTTCATCAAAGCTGATGCTTTACATCCGTTGTTTAGTGGCAGACTACTATTTCATATTGTTTTGCAACACATGGTTTTAGCCCTCTGTTTGGAAAGACTTTAAAACAAAACTTACAACAGTTACTTCTCTCAACAACTGAAATTTAGTGTGTTTAGAATAGTGTGATTAAGAAAAATATGTGAACTTTTAGCAATTTCAAATTAATATTGAAATGTACAGGTTTAGAATTTTCTACAGTGAAAAGTTTTCGGAACTTCAGTATTCAAAAAAGTATACAAAAACTAGACGTTAAGAACGTATCCAATGAGCGAGCAAAGCGAGCATTGGACTGCGAAGCAATCCGAAATGAACTGCGAAAGCAGTTCCGGGGTTGGCGAGCGCCAGCGAGCAGGGGGCGAAGCCTCCTAGTATAGAAATAAAATTATACGCTAAATGCGTAAAAGTTGGCAGATATGCATTTGTATACTTTCAGGGATGTCACCTGCTTTCTGATTTCGGCAGAATATTTAGAAACGTGGTAAAGAAATAAAAACTGGTGTTACGTAAAATAAAAATATGTATTATAATTTAAAAAAAAAACAGCAATTGTTCCGATTGTTAGAATTCCACCCTAACAAACCCTACCGCTAACATTATAACGCCTACAAAGCGTAGGAAGTAGTAAAAATTTATTCGAATAGCAATTTCTTAAATTTTTATTTACCTGCAAAATCAGGACACATATCCATGTGTGTAACGTTATAACCTGAATAAGCAAAACCACTCAAAGCCATTGCGATACAAAGTAAGGCTATAATTAGCTCGGCTCGGCACCCAGCAAAATTAACTGCTATCAAAGCAAGTCCTGGACCAAATGTACCTAAAACAAATTAGAAATTAGTCTAGTCTAGTAGTGTACTGCAACTGGACACCTATCCCATAAGTCATGAATTTGTTTTAACACTGTGAGGTCAGCTGTCCGCGTAGTTGCTGGATAAGTAGTTCGAGCACTTTGTCGAAGAAATCAAAATAAATGGAAATATTAACATGTTGAATGTCATGGGGGACATAGGTCACCGGCGCTGAGTTTGTTCGCAGCTTCACGGTGATCACCGGTGACTGGCGAAGCCAAGATTATAAGAAACACATAATTCGAGTAAATTTTCCATTTTTTTAATATTATTATCGTTACTAAAATGGATTGAAGAAAGTAATGCAATATAGAAAACACAAAAATAGTTTTATTTATCTACATAGCGATGTCAACTTGCTCTGGACATTGAATAAATACCTTCAAGTGGTAGTTTATTAATTGTGATTCTTGGTTTAATAAATTCAATTTAGTAGATTTTTATCCACCACTATTCGTCGGCAATTCGTATTAGTGAATAATTCACCACTTCTTTCAGATATGTCATGCTAAACCTCTTAAAAAATTAGCAAAATCAGTCAGATAGTTTCAAATTTAGTTTGTAGTTATTAACTGTGTGGCCAGACGAGCAAGCCAAGTAAAATTAGCTTGGCACTCAACGTGTTAACCCTTTGACGGTTATGAACGAGTTAGGCTCGGAATCGAATCGTGTTTCACAATGCGCGCAAACGAGTTCCGCTCGGGAGCAAGATTTCAACCGTAATGGTTAGTAACGAGCACTACTCGCGTAGTGAAATTTTTCCCCAATGCACACTGACGAGCTGAGCTTGTTCGCCATTATTATTCTGCATTGACTATGTTAAAAACGAATCCTACTCGCGAAGCGTAGTTAGTTTTACTGCCTACAGATGGCAGTACGGGTTTCATGAATTTCTTTTCATAATAAAGGGGAATATATTTTTTTACCTTGTTCTTTTTATTCGTATTTTGGCGCGTTTTTTAGGTTGCTGGTAAAGTGAAATGACTGAAAAGCGAAAGTTAGATAATTATGATTGTGATATAGAAAGCTTATTAAGTTTTGAGTCCGATGAAGACTTTGTTCAGAGTGTTTAGGTAATTACTGTATTTAAATGCTTCATAAAGTTTTACATTAGTTGTATTTATTTAGTCCTTTCGATTTAATATTTGTCTTATATTTATAATTAACTATTATTTATATAATTGATTATAATCATTTATAATTTACTATTAATAATTATCTTTTATTATTTTAAAGTTCATAAAAACTGTTATTTATGTACTACAAAAATTTTTCAAAACGCTTGAGACGAGCTATCTATGGCATTGACAGAGATGCCAACTTTCTCCGCTTTGTAAAATAGTATTTTCTAGTAGTAGCGAAATTCAAGTTACTTTCAGTTCAGTATTTTTCCTTTTAAGTGATTTTTTCACCACTAAATATCAAAAATTATAAGTATCATATAAAATGCAACGTTAAAGCAACAATCAACTAGTTACTCTATTAAAAAGTAGGCGTAACTGTCTTTCCTTAACGAATTTTACTACATAATTTGCTACCACTTTATTATAACTATTCCAGGAAGCGGAGCAGTTGGCATCGCCAGAGAAGGGTGACATTTTCGGAAGAACGGCGGGGAAAAGCAGCTGCCACTTTCGACTACTGTTTGCTCGTAATACTGTTCATTTCCCTAACCGTCAAAGGGTTAAGAAGCCGCTAGCTGGCTTTTGAGGAGGATGAGGTTCATGTGCTTTACTCGAGGAAATAATATAAGTAAAAAGGTACAGCAATTTGCTCAAAATGTTAGTTCTTTGTTTGCAGATGAGAATAAAGTATCAGCATGAGGGAGCTTATTGTTTTCTTTTTTGCAGGTTGAACACTCAAATTTTTTTTTAATTTTTTTTGGTAGAATTGGAGTTTAGATTTTTAGATCTGAAGGTGAAATCGCAGTTGAGGCTGCGATAAGGTTTGAAGTTGATGTGATTTGTTGAGGTTGATGAGTTTTATCAGATTGATGAAATTGAGGAATTGAAATGTTTTGCTATTGGTCTGTAATTTTCAAAGTTGAATATATCATTGAAGTTTGCTGTACTGCATTTTGTAGCTTTATCAAAGAAATCTGCATTTAATTTATATTATACTGTGACACAGTTTGTATTTTCAAGTATTTATGAATGTTTGCATATTCAGGATGGACCATCTGTTACATGTGATTTTTCTTGTTTTGGCATGCGGTTAATTTTTTTCATAAGATGCTGTGAAATTGTAGATCACGCTGATAAGGCATAAGAAAGTATCGGTCGAATTAGCAATTAGTATATTAAAAGCAGAAATGCTACAGGCAACAAAAAATATTAAAAGTGGGGATTAATTAACAGCAAAAATTCTATTAAACGAGATAGCAACTTTTTCTAGCTTATCTAGTTTACAACTGAAATTTAGTGCAAAGAATGTTTAATATGAATGATTTGCAGTATAAGCCATGTTGGCAGTATAAGCCATTTGCAGTATAAGCCATGTTGGATTGATTAATTAAATAAATAAAGATGAATTGAGTTTCTACTCATTCTAACGTTTTCAGTCGCCTGCAACATCTCTGTGAAGGGAATACAACAGTGAAAGTGAGGAACGAGTTATTTATATAAAGATATAAAAACTGCATTTACGAAAAAAACTCCGTGAAAAAAGGGTAAGTTTTAAATATATATACACACAAGTATGCATAAGTAAGCTTACATAAACAAAATTCTCCTGCAATTAAAATTTCTTTCACTTTGGAAAAGCTGAAAAACTGCAAATTTTGTAGCAGCAAAATTAACTGCAAAATTTTATAGCAGCAAAGCATTTCAAAAAGAAAACAAAAAATATTTCTTATTTAAAAAAGGAAATAATAACACTTAGTGCAAATCTTCAGAGTTATGTCGCTGTATAATAAAAATAATTCTGTTGCTAATTTGCGTGGTTTAAAAAATAAATAATTCTTAATTATGAATGTAAAGCATTTAATGCAATGGTATATTCATACATTAAAATGTGTTCTGAACATTGTTGAAAAATCTGCGCAAAATTTCCTATATTTTCATCGAATAGTTTTTGTGTTCCGAGAGTGAGAAGTAGACACTGCAAAAAATTTTGAAACAGCGGAGGTGAACTTTGAGGGCAAAAAACTTTTTTTTAACGTACGGTGCTCACAATTTACCCAGCTATATCACTGTTCACATTATATCACAGTTATTAAAGAATGGCACAGTTAAATGGAATTTACCTATAGAATTCATCAATTTTCTGATGGCAGTTATGGACATTTTGTTAGATTTTCTTAAGTAGTCAGCAGCAAACGATGCCGTCCATGCCCCGATTACATTTGTGATAAATGGCAAAGAGGAAAGCAAGCCATTCTGTAAAAATAATTACGATCAGGACGTGTGAAAATATCAATTATTAAGAAACAAAATAATTTTTATCGTTATTACATAAAATGGATGTTTTTTAGTAGAGCATACCTTCAATTTTCTAAACTCCTGACATTCCTAAAATCTTATATTTTATAGCACGTTGCATAGTATTACTTTTGAAAGTTTTCAAAGTTTCATATAGTAGATGCAGTGCAAAAACTAGATAACTAAATATGTTATGATTTATGCCGCACGCAAACTAAATAATTCAACAAATTATTAGTTTTATAGTACACAAACTATATAACTCAGCATATTATGAGTTATAAAGTACACAAGCTTGATAACTTAACAAGCTATTAGTTCTATAGTACTAAATCTCAACATATTATGAGTTACATATAAGAACACTCTTTATGATTAAGATATCAAATTATAAAAAAAATTATTGTTAGATAACTCAAAGACTTAGATGTGGAATTTCGATAGATACTTATACAAGATGAAAAAAAAACAAGATATATACAAGCGACTAAGATGGCTCTAACCGAGCGAAATTTAAGAAATTGTAGAAAAAGATGGAGAAAAAAAACAAACAAATTAAACCAAAATACATCAATAAGTTAATGGGGGCCGGGATAGCCTGGTCGGTAGGGCGCTGGGCCCATATCCAAGAGGTCGTGGGTTCGATCCTCGCCGGCCGAAGACTCCCCGTGTAGTAAATGGTGACTGATGCACGTTAAATCTGTCGAGTCTCAAAGTCCTCCATGTTCCCACAACAAATCAATACCTCTGGGGGTACTGATCCAGGAGTTTCCTTGTCTTCTGGATTGGTTCAAAATTACAAGGCTACGGAGTTGAACGTAAGTAGTCGTAAACCCATGAAATTGGGTCGGCTGTTCAACGACGGTTATAAAAAAAAATTAAAAAAAATAAGTTAATGGAAATATACATAAATATTAAGGCGGCTCAAATTCCTAAAAGTAAAGTGGTTATTTAAATCCTTAAAATTTCTGATAGCCCATGAAAAATTCTGATTTTTATATTTTTCCTGGTTTATTTACTTCTGTCATTTTACTGCAAGCAGTATGATTGGAACATTCAGATGCAAGCAGTTATTTTAGGTTTTTACTTCTACGGTAACATTTCTGCGCAGTTACCGGTATTAGTTTTGATCATCCTATAAAACTAAATATATCTGTAACTAACCACTCACAGTTCTTTCAAAATATCATAGTTGAACTGGAATATAAGTTGACAAATATAATTATACAATAAAATATAATAGTACAAAATGATAAATATAATAGTATAAAATTCTGACAAATAAAATATTTGAACTAGAATAGTTGAACTACAGCCGTTTGTGGCCTTCTACCATCCCGTCCTACGTCAGAAAGTTTCCACACGCTCTTTTATAGGTAGTCTGTGCAGACTATTTAAAAAGTGAACTAGTTGTGAGCATGAACCCAAATTCTATTTCAAAAGTAATTGAGAGAAATTAATCCTATATATTTGAGAATTGAATCTGTAGTGGTTGACAAGCAAATAAGACAAACCAATCATATTCTTAAATTAAAACAAATTTTTAGAGCTATATTTGCTACCACTTTCTTATTTTTACTGGATATTCTGCTGAATGGCTCTTTTGTAAACCGGTTCAACATCATAGGGGTCTGATCGAACTACCTGTAAGAAATCGTGTGTAGGATTTCAGTACCTGAGGAGTACTGTAAGAGGCGTTGCCTTTGCCCGTTCATCATAATCATGATCAATGTGGTGGTTCTGAGAGAATGCAAATTGAGTAAAAGGATTATTTTTGATGACAGATGAACGTTGAATTATGATTATGTTTTTGCATACATTGTACTGATAAAATATAATAGTTGTTTTGTAAATTTCTGTTAAAGTTAGGAATGTTTTGATGATACCAATTTAACATCTGGAGGTTTTCTGCGACAGAGTTTCTGTACAGACATATTTTACTTTAAAAAAAAATTGCCGTCAGGACCTGAACTTATCGTTCTTCGCAGGCGCACTAACCGCTCTGCCACCTGGTCGCAACTTGAAAAAATATAGATAACGGTGGTCACAAATGCGTTGAATCCCGGTGATTCGTCATCATATTACGGATTCTGAAATTTTTACGACCTTGAGATCACTTGTTTTGCACATCAGCTTCAAATACTAACTGGGCATCCATCCTGATATTCGGTTCATGAAGTAGGACAATATAGTATGGAATGCTAACGGACCCAACACTTGTCACAAAATTCTGACGTCATTTTTTTTTCTCTAAAAGTGTTAATTAGTATTTGAAAAACGTTTTATTCGCATATAATCAAAAAACTTTCGGGAATATTTATTCTAGTGGTAGATAAATTTATGCTTCAATCTATGTGTCTTTGTTTTAAAATTATTTACTACACCACTGCTCGTTAATAATTTGATTTAAAAGAACATATGGAATGAGTCATTTGATGGGCTTTCTCGTGTTGATGTTTTTAGAGTGTAAGCAAAAATTATGACCAGCTTTAGTTTTTAAATATTTTCCGTGCTGTAAGATATCTCTTAAGGAGTCTAAAAGTTTTTAGCTATCTCGGTTGTTTTATCCCATATTATTCGTTCTTTAAGATATTATTAGTTGTGGTAGTCACGAATATTTCAATTCTCTCAACAGTAAGCGAATCATTATCCTAAAATGTTATCCAAAAACTCTTTCATGGCCATTTTTCCATTATTAAAATACTTGCAGCAGGTGTAAACGCTTAACCCTTAGCGGGACATTCGGAAGTGCGACGTTTGATAGAACATTCTACGCGTAGAAATATACTACAGCTCTTTGTTGCTTAAAGAATGGTGGTTGCTAAAAGCGATTAGTTTTACATTTCCAGTAGTTTGTAACATTTGTGTCACCAGACTCACACACTGTATCGGAAAAGGTTTAATAATGCTCACAAACGTTGTTATTTATCATCCATGACTGTTAAAAATTTCAAACAAATTTAAACATAAGAAGAAACTTTCATCATTTAATGTAATATTTATCATCACTTTTCGCTATTTTGTAGAGAAAATATGTCTGTAGGTAAACCAGGTCTCTAAACGATGAAGAGTACTACTTGATTTCCACGGCGATCGTAATAAACCACCAAATCATTTAAAACAGAGTCAAAAGTAGCCAAACTAAGAGTAGTCTTACACGTTTTCACTTTCGGTTCCATTTAGGCTTTGCATACAAACCGCGTGAGAAAAAAAAACTTCCAATTTAAACATTGAAAAAATTAATTTAGTCTTTTTCCCAGGAAAAAAGAGGTACTACCTCACTCGATCGAGCATGCGTAAATGGCCACGAAATGAAACTCTCTGTAAAGAAAAGTTAGTGGAGGAGCAACGGGAAAAGCTGTCAATATAAAAAAGAACTTTTTGTGTTGTTGTTAGGAACAAAAAGTAAAGAGGCACGCCTCATCATCTTCTAGAGTCTTATCTTGCGTAATTCATGTGGAGAAAATCCTATGGAAAGGCAAGACTTTTGATTTATTATTGAAAGCAATCACGGAGTTATGGAAGACAAAAACTAAATGCGAATAATTCTAGCTTGGCGTTAATCTTAGCGTCGTTTTAACATCTGTGGTCATGAAAATCAAGTAGCACCCGATAGTCTTCTGTCTAACATAAATGCAGATTTACCCAATAACTCCTAAAAGAAAAAAAGCCTTAGAACGGGTTACCATAAACAAGAAATTAAATCCTTTAGTAGTCCAAACGTAATGACATCTTTCGCTACTACGCAACTTAGTCGCTCGAACACGGGGTCATCTATCCTATTTTTCATTCAGTGCGCTGCTTATGTTCGTTACGTCGGATTACTAAATTGATCCATGCTGAGGCCTTCTCTCTTCTAGGAGGTGCTGATTTACCTAGGGGTACAGTCCGCAAAAAAAAAACGAATCACCCTGAATAACTTTTGTTCTAATGATTGGATTTTTACGAACTAAGTGTCAACCTTAATGGTTCCTAGGGGTGACCTCAAATATGCTCATTAATTAGTGCTAACTAGTAATTAAGTTACGAAATCGGACACAAAAACGTACTTTCTCTGAAACATACATTTTTTTTACATATTCGGATTTTTAACCTTCAAAATATAGGGGGTAGCCGCAATCTGGGAAATATGGTCCCCATAGTTTGGTCAGGAGAGCGATCCAAAGTTTGTACCCCTTAATGTTAATTTCACTTTTTAGGTTTTTAGTCATATTTTCAAAACTAATAA